GGGTCAAGGAGTGTAGCTGTAAAAAATCATCAAAATCAGGGTTGAAATAACCGTTAAATCATGATTTTTCGTTTATAACCGTCGAAATGTTTTGTCCCATTAATTGATCTCTTAATGTTATTTTTTCTGAATTTTGGTGTATATGATCTCGAAGTATAAACAAATAAGTTTGACGGTTGGATCGTTGAGTAGCTTTAAATTTATTTATTTTGTACGTATAAAACTTAAGAAATTGAATAGTATATGTATTTATTAGTAGCTTGAAATATTTTTTAAGACTTTGCGCGACCAATTAGTATTTCGTCACGCAAAGTATACTCTCAAAATTTGGGTGTGTGCCAAAAATGGGAATTTTTTTTTAAAAAAAATTTTCGACTTTGCGCGACCAATATATAAATATTCGTCGCGCAAAGTATACTCTAAAAATTTGGTGGGCACCAAAAATGGGATTTTTTTTATAAAAAATTTCGACTTTGCGTGACCAATATATAAATATTCGTCGCGCAAAGCATACTCTAAAAATTTGGCGAGCACCAAAAATGGGATTTTTTTTAAAAAAAAATTTCGACTTTGCGCGACCAATATATAAATATTCGTCGCGCAAAGTATTCTCTAAAAAATTGGCGGGCACCAAATTCAACTTTGCGCGACCAATATATAAATATTCGTCGCGCAAAGTATACTCTAAAAATTTGCCGGGCACCAAAAATGGGACGCTGGAGTATTTTGGTCGCGCAAAAGTTTGGGCGACCAGAAATTCGTTGCCCAAAACTGAAAAAATTTGGCGGGCACCGAAAATGGGAATTTTTTTTTAAATTTTTTTAAACACTTTGCGCGACCAATATATTGTTTCGTCGCGCAAAGTGATACGTTCTTTAAAAGCAAAATAACTCCTCCACCATTTTCTCAATGTCTTCTAAATCCTACCATTTCTCTCTCTTTCCCACTCCCCAAATCCTACCATTTCTCTCACACTCACTCCTCTCACTTAATCTCTCATCTCTCTCTTCACTATTTTCATCATCTCTCACTCTCACTCACTCTCTCATCTCTCTCTCACTATCTTCTCTAATTCTCTCACACTCACTTCTCTGTAAATTTTAAATTTTTTTCATTAATATGTGTTTTTGGAGTTAGTTTTGAGTTTATGCCAATTATTTGTCATTATTTTATGTTATTGTTTTGTTATTTGACAATATTTGTTTTTTTTTTTGGTAGGGAATTGTTGAGGCTTTGATGGCTAAAGTTGAGGATTTGATATAAGATGCTTGAAATTGACAATATTTGACCACTATTTTTCTTATGTAATTTTATTTTGAATATGTCAATTTAAATTAAAGTAATTAAGAAAAATAAAATCATACAATTAAATTAAATTTAAAAAAATTAATATAATGAAATTAATATAAGAGAAATAATAATAAAAAATGTCAAAAACCTTGCGGGACAAAATATTTCGTCGCGCAAACTATTAAAGTAGTTTATTTTAGTTTAAAATTTTCAAAAAAAAAAAATTTAAAATTTTCAAAAATTTGCAAACCTTTGCGCGACATTAACTTTCGTCGCGCAAAGGAGATATTATTCGTCGCGCAAAGTAGATAATATTCGTCGCGTAAAGTAATTAATATTCGTCGCGCAAAGTTGTTATTGTCCGTCGCGCGAAGTAATTAATATTTGTCGCGCAAAGTTGTTATTTTCGTCACGCAAAGTCGTCATGATTCGTCGCGCAAGTTGTTATCCTTCGTCGCGCAAAGTGGCTTTGTGCGACGAAGAATTTTCGCCGTCGCGCAAACCCTTTCTTTACGAGTTTTGGGCGACAGAACTTGCGCGACCAAAAATCATTCGTCGCGCAAAGTGTTTTTTGTAGTAGTGAATGTTTGCTTTTCCATTTATCTTGGCTAATAATGTTGACCCTCCTTGAGAGAATTCATGGCTACGCCATTGAGACCATGTATTGGTGGAAGCACTCTTGATTGATTAGGATAGTTGTACCTTTGGAATTACTATAGTGCCCTTTATAGGGAGATTGATAGAGGATATTATTTTTGTCTTTTACGATAAGCATGACAGATCCTGGGTTATTATTCATATTGGGATAAGACAATAAGCAAAAAATGCATGGGGTGCTCCAACTCTTTTTTTTTTCTTTTTTTTTTTTTTTTTTGTGGTAATAGGTGCTCCAACTTTTAATCACACGTGATCTTCACCAATCTACATTAGCTAGCGTCTAGTATAAATTTGGGATTTAAAGACGATTCCCTTTTTAATTTCCTTTTTAATTTCGCAACGGTCTTCTGAAATCTCATAGACGACTTAGCACTTGCTTGGGTTATGTATGAATCTTTTCCTTATTGCTTTTGATTATTATGTCAATAACATAGGGTTTGCTTTCGGAAAAAAAGAGATTAAAGAATATATAAACTGCATGTCACTCCTACACGTAACAAAAGAGAAGCGAGTATATTGCTTAAAGTAACTTTTGCTAAGTATTCAGGAAAATAGAAGAAAGAGGAAATCTGTAATTAAGAAAGAGAGAGAGCTTTGAGTAGAATGGTGGGAATCAAATCTGTTTTTCTCATTACCACTATACACGTACAGTGGAGCCTTTATACTTAGGCTTTGCTTAATGGTTAAGCATCTGAGCTAACAACCACTAACAATCTTCACGTGTCTTCACGTGTTTAACATAACTAATTACAGACACGTGGCACACTAATTCTAATCATTAGCTAAACAACTTGATCTGGTTGTACAATATACACCTAACAAAACAAAACCTTAGCATTGCAAAATCAGGATTTCACACAGCTCCAGTACAACCTCAGCGACTACAATGGGGAGCAATATCTAGTTCTACATACCTTAATATACTTAGCTTCATGCACTATCTGTCTACTGGTTTTCTTCGTTTTCATTGGAATCTTTGTGAGAGAAGAACTTCCTTACATGCTGCAGCTTTTCTCGAACCCAATATCTAAATCTGTATTTCTTCACGGCATACCATTTTTCTTTGAGTGGGAATATTATGAATATGAAAAGAGCAAAAGCTGAAGAAACCCCAGTAACGAGAAATAAACCACGAAAGGTATGGAAGTTTAGAGTATTGGGATCACTCGTTGTGTTGTCAAACATGAGAATTTTTCTCTTCTGAAACCAGACCTTCTCCTTCTCTATAAGCTTTCCCTCTTCTCTCATTTGTTGAATTTGCATTGACATATCATGGACCAATTTCGAACCTTTAGGGAAAACCTACATATACAAAAACAGATGAGCAACGAACTAATCAGCATGCTTACTTTCCGATTTTCTGCTTTTCTCCATACAGTTTTGATTTGCAATGCATATGTGTAATTAAATGGATGGACATAATCATAAAGAAAATGTGCTTAGCATGTGCATGCAATTTCCAACCGACCTAAATTATCGGTTTAACATGCATGCTCTTTTCACGCCAATTTTCCATCTAGCCACATTTGACATATATATGTAACATATTATAGATTTGATTTAAGCTTAAGTAAAGTACGTGCACTTAAATGTTAAGATGTTATGTGGCCAAAATATCATGATTAATGCATAACTTAATTTAAGGGAGGTTACTCACAAAGCCAAAACCATTGGTGCTAGATTCGGGTTTAATCATGGAGTAGCCAGTAGGATAGTGTGCAAGGAAGATCTTAATGTATGGAACCTCGTCAACGATAGCAGAGACACCACCATGCTTACTTCCGCTTGATAAAGCAAGAGCATATTCTTCAACCGAATTAAGGGGTGTTTGACCTTCGAAATTCAAGTTCTTTACTACTCCTTGGGTAGGTGAACGTGATTGGTAACCTATATAGTTTCCTCTTGAGTTTAATTGTATTTGGTCAACTGTCATAATTGATGTCAGAGTTGCTGTGTAACTGGAAGTCAATATAAGCACAGCAAACACCCATATGATCACTACAAACTTTGCTAAATTGTTTAACAACTTCTCCCCTGCAACAAAATCAAGACTGATCGTCAACTACAGCATCTATATTCGTGATTTGAGTTCGTTCTTTCATCTGAATGGATATAAGTAAGGGAATTTGAGTGACTAAAAGTGAACAAGGAATCATTTCGAATTAAGAGAATTCAGTCAGAAAAATATAATTAACAATGCTACTATTTCTCATATCTGTGTTAATTAATCAGAAAACACAAGGGTTGTTTCATAGAGACTGAAAACTATTGAGATGTGCATTGACTTAGCAGTAAGCTTGAATAATTGAAAGACGTAGTGAGATATAGTGCACTTACTATGAGCAAACACAAGGGTTGAGAAGGCAAACCATAATATGCTTCCGATTTGCTGCGAAGGTGTGCCTTGGAATTCTGGGTTGACAGGACGCTCAATTACCCACACAACGAAACCGGTCAAGATAAAGAAACACGCACTTGTGATCCACAGATCTGCCGAAAGAGGTCTCAAGAAAATCCACATGTCTTCTTTTTCATTTGATACTAGCATCCCCACACCTAAGTCAGTATATGGTGTTGTAAAACAAACATTCTGAGATCTCTCCGATGTGATCGTGGTATCCCCAACAACAGCGTCGAATGTCTAGTTATTATACATTCCCCAATATGCAAAAGTGTGGCAGGAAAACGAAAAATTAAAAATTAGAAAGATTAAATCATTAAAATGTAATATAATGAGATACAAATCTATTTTTGCATTACAAGTTACTAGCATACAATTAAAGATGTATTTATCCAACATAATATTTATATTCCACCTGATATAAATTTGTAATTTCAAATTAAGCATACCTGGTTAAAAACTTGGTAAACAAGATCATTGTAACTTGCATTAATGCCAATCTCAAATGGAACAAAGTCATAATTTACTTCATACGGCAATGCTCTAATTGCAGCCTCGAATACGTCTATGCAGAAGCCTGTGAAATATGTTCGATTGGTTTGAGTATCATGGTTCATAAGCACAAGTTCGTTGAACCCTGTTCTCACTGGTACGCCAACTCTTAGTTTTATTTCAGAACTAGTACTCATCAATTGCATCTTTGAACCGTTTGGGATGGTTGATGATCCTCCAGGCCATATGATTGTTTCAAGATCGTTGGTGGAAAGTAAATTTCTTCTGTTATTAAGTGGGTAGGAATCTCTTGTGCGTTTTTCTTCACATGGCCAAAATCCAACCCTTCTTTCCCCTTTTCCTATGACATTCACAATCTCAAATGCACTTGAAACTAGCTTCCCATTTGGATATTGAATTTCTTCACCGCTTAAACCCTTAAACCTTATTTGCAATAGCTCTTGAAGAAGCAGAAGTCCATGTTTGGAGGATGTAATATTGTTAAAATTCACTAGGTTCAATCCTGTAGAAGTCCAGGTCCTCTCAACTGCTTCAGCTAGAGCCCAAGTTGCATCATATGCCCAAATTCCATCTGGGGTTACCGCACTTACTTCTATGTTAGGATCCTGCATATAAAATATCCTCCTCAATCGTGAAGTAAGATTGTGGAGGCGGGTTGATGCTGGAGTATAAGACTTCAAACCGAGCACTCCTTGCATTGACTCAATTACGGATGAGTCCATGGAAGAATGCAAGAAATTCATGCTAGTTGATGTCACAATCCAAGCATACCCTTCACTCAGTAGGCCTAACTTTTTTGCATTAAAAAAAAGGCGAGGAACAAGAAAATGTGATATATGCACCACAAATACCGCTGTCTTCAACTTCGTGAGGTTGCGGAGCTCTTCAATGATCTGTTCATCTGCTGAGGAGGCAGCAATGCAACTTTTATATACAATAGTCACATTTGCTTCTTCAAGGGAGTTGATAAAAAATGGAATGATGTCTCTCCCATAATCTGTGTTCTCATATAGAAGGATGACATCCCTCCATTTGAACATTTCAATAAGGCCACTGATTGCCGTAACTTGAGAAGTTTCATCTTGTGTGATCTCAACAAAGAAGGGATTTTCGCCAGGAGCACCGAAAGGACTAGTACAAAGTCCAGAAAGTGACAATACAGGGACTTTAGCTTCTTCTCCTAACTCTGCCAATAGGGTTGCTTCCATTCTTGTTTGTGCACCAATTATTGCTTCCACTTTGATCTTATCCAAAAGATTTAGAGCTGCATTTTGGTTGAAGATCGCGACTAGAGTTTAAAATAAAATTATATAATGATAGTTTCTTATAATTTTTTTTTATTATAATCATTATAACAAAGTCTAGAAAGAAAATTAATTTTATAGTACAAAGACTAAAATATTAATATGTGGCTTACCAGCTGATAGAGCATGTAGAGGTTTTCCTTTGGAATCTCTGGTATGCAGAATTACTCTTTTGCTGTAGTTATTATGCAGATGGTAGAAATCAGACAGGGCTGTTGAAATGCAGCTGAGAATAATCTTTCCTTCCCTTGACCCCATATCAAGAATCACACCAACATGAACCTCTTTCACAACAATATTGGGACTGCCATCAATTTCAGCACACAAGAGACCTAGAAGGCTAAACAAGGTCACAGAGGACAGGCAGAGGATGGTTTGCTTCTTCCCTTGAAACTCCATATACACAAGAGACCAACTTAATTTCTGCTTCTCTATTGTTTGGTTCAACACTTGATCAGTATCATCCTGCATATATATAATGCTTCTTCATAAAATGCTAAGGAGGAAAACTATCACTATCAAGATACCGTTTATTAGTGGGAGGGGCTGCAGGCTGTGGACCGCAAGATATAAGAAATTCGAGTTATTAGGAAACGTGAATAGGTTGACCAAGACTTTGTGAATGGTGATATAGCTAGAATATGACAGTTGACAAATTCAAATTGAATATTCTTTCAAGCGTGTTGCATGCGTTGTGACAAATTCATATAAAGCGGGTACAATAAGTTTTTATAAGCCTCGGCCTCGACTTACTAAACCATGTGGTTAGTACACCCTGAAGAGTAGCAGCAAATTCATAACAGAATGTTACTACCTTCGGCAGCAAGTAAATTTTTATTGAAGACTTAAGGTCGCCAATCCTCTGATTCAAGGAAGGCTTCATGATTCAAACTCTGTGGAGTATTTACAGCCTGATCAGTGCTTGTCTTGTGTGAGCATGCACCAGTATCTCAGTAAATTTCGTTTCTCATGGTCGACACAAACAAAGTGAAGGTTTATTCTCGCCGAGTTGATTTGCAATGCCACGCGGCTCATAAACATAATATCTGTTATTAGATTGCCTGAAAAAGAGAGAGCATGTAAGCTAAGGGGCTTTAACCGAACCAATAAGCTCCAAGATTGATAAATTTCTGAAGTAGAAGAATTGGCTCTTGTTTTTTATTAATCAAATTTAGCATTCGTAAATACATACACAAGTATACATTGTGCATATGTGATTCAGAATGTAAATTACACAAGAATGATATACAATGTTTTAAATCGCTATTATATATGTAACGTGTCGCATATGTATATCTATTTACTTATTTATATGAATGCATATGCAAAGTTTAGAAAGGTTATTACTCACAAAGCCAAAACCATTGGTAATAGGCTTGGGTTTAATCATAGAGTAACTAGCAGAATACTTTGCCGGGAAGTACTTTATGTAAGGAATTTCCTCAATGACAGCACTTCCTCTTGATAAAGCATCGTTAAATTCTTCAACCGAATTGTACGTAGAACCTTCGGATTTCACATAGTTCTCTAAATTTCCTGGGGCCAATACACCATGGAAACCTATGTACTTTGCTTCTGGGTTATATTGTATCTGTTTAACTGTCATTATTGATGCTAAGTGGCAGTGTAACTGGATGTCAATATAAGCACAACATAAACCCATATGATCACTACAAACTTTGCCAAATTGTTTAACAACTTCTCCCCTGCAACATGTACAACAACATTTCAGCATTTCGACAAATGTCAATCTGTAAAAGAAATTTCAAATCAAGCAAAAGAAAAAGAAAAGTATCATTGCTCATTTCTCTTACATTAATTATGAATGAGAAACTGATGAGATTTATTATTTATCAAAAAAAGATGCTCAACTTTAGAAATCCATTTGAAATTGACAGTATATGAGCAATCTAGATTTGAGTTATCAACAACTTTATAATAAACAAGATCTGATTAAAAAATTGAGTTAAACATTGTCTTGGCAGGGAAACTAGTACAAATAAAAAGGCTTGAGACAGAGCACTTACTGTGAGCAAACACAATGGTTGAGAAGGAGAACCATAATACTGAAACGATTTGCTGCGATGGAGAGCCCTGGAATTTTTGGAGATAGGATGCTCATTTACTTACTAAAGATGCAGCCGCATGCCTAAGGAAGCCACAATAAATGGCTGGTGGAAAAAAAATCTCCCTAGGACAGCATCATCAATATCAAAGCACCAAAAGGATGTGCAGCCAGTCTTTGCTTTCCCAATGTCTCCCAATCAACCAACTACCAAAATAAATAGCCGAAAGCAACATTGCACATGGGTGCAATCTTGAGTAAAATAGTAACATAATATTATATTCATCGCGCAAAGTCTTAAAAAAAAATTTTAAGCTATTAATAAATATATATACTATTCAATTTCTTAAGTGTTATACGTACAAAATAAACAAATTTAAAGCTACTCAACGATCCAACCGTCAAACTTGTTTGTTTATACTTCGAGATCATATACGCGAAAAGTTGGAAAAAATAAACATTAAGATATCCAGTAATGGGACAAAACATTTCGATGGTTATAAAAGAAAAATCAAGATTTAACGGTTATTTCAACTCTGATTTTGATGATTTTTTACAGCTACACTCCTTGACCCTATATGAATACAATGAACCAATTCGATCGTCAATTTAAAATATTTACACTAGTGGATACCACAAAATCTTATGTTATATTTAATAAAAGTATAAACAAACTCTTAATTGTTAGTGAATATATTATTTTGATGGCATACGCATTCTACGAAACTAGTTTCAACGATCCAACTGTCAAACTTGTTTGTTTATACTTCGAGATCATATACGCCAAAAATCG